AAGATGCGGTCAGCGGAGGCCCGCAACAAGGCCCTGTCCACCTGCACCCCACAGCTAGTTGTTCTTGTTCTGTTTGAAGTCTCCTTAATGATAGCTGCGTTTGGGCCCAGTGCAGATGCAGCGTCCCTCACAAATCTGCTGACCGCTCTCTCCTACCTCATGTTGCCACCTTTCCTGAACCCCATCATCTACAGCCTGCGGAACCGGGACATCGGCTCTGCTCTAACCAGAATGTTCTGCAGAGGCCCTCAGGTCCCACATAGGCATGTCGTGGGTTAGCGTCCTACCGTGAAGACAAGGGAACAGAGGCCTTCGTTGACTTCATTGTTTCGTATCAGTTTTCCCGGCAGTCACCGCAACCCCGGACCCCACTGCCTGTCTCCCCAGTGCCCTGCGCACCCGAGCTCACGGCCTTCCTGCTCTCCCTGTGACTGCTCTGATTCAGCCCACACGACCCTGAGCGCTCCCCAAGCTGCTCCGCATTGTGAAGGTTGTGAGACGCTGCTGAGAACTGAGCTCCACGGCTCACACACGTGACTGAAGCCCTGAGCTGCTCCCTGTGCTTGCCCTTGCAGAGAACTCTGAGAGGGAGGCAGGAAGGGTTGGCGCTGGTGCCTGGAGCAGCCTCCGGGGCCTCGGCCCAGAAGAGCGCCACCTCGGGAGGTGGGTGTGACCCCGTGGGCTCAGAAGGAAACATACTTTAGCAGGACCACCACCCACTTCCCTTCTGTATCCAGACCACCACAAGTGATTGTCCCTGAGTTTGAAAAATCAAGGAAGTGTCTGTCCTCTCCTGCTCTGAGCCCTCATATGTGGGGGCCGCGTGCAGCCTTGTCTCTGCAAGGTGAGCTCTGTGTGGTGGGTGGAAACCCGGGCTCAGAGCCCATGTAAGAGACATGTGTGACCCTCAGGGATGCCAGAGGGCTGAGGTCCACCTCTGCTTCGCTCTGTCTTTGCATGGGTGCCGTGGTCTGTCTGCATGTGGGGTGGGGTGGCTCCCTATCACAGCACCCCCCCCAGCTGTTTCTCTCCCCCTGCCTTTAGGGCTCCTCTCTCTGTATATAAATGTACATATACAAAGCCATTCTTCTTCAAGAACCGTCATTTACAAGGTGATTGATAGTTGAGTTCTTGCTGCCGTCCAATATTACCGCCATGTCAATTTCCCATCCCCCGCATGCCCAGGTCCCCTCCTCCCACACAGCGGCCTGAACCCTTCCCCTGATGAGCACATCCAGAAGTTGGGTGGTTGTAGCCGGGCCCTCCTGGTGTCGGTGTTGCTGGCCTGCGGTGTGGACAGGACGCCAGGCTGTGTCCCAGGCCCAGCCGTCTGGAGAGGACATTGCTGAGGGGTCCGTCCCACTCCTCTCCACCGCAGCTCTCCCTCAGGGCACGTCTTCCGCGACAGGATCGTTCAGTTCAAATGTGGTTTGCGGCCCCACTCCACCTGTTGTCACAGCTTATTTGGGGCATGAGCGATTCTTGCTGTTGCCTTGTTGCGTCTGGAAGCTGGTCGTACTTTGGCCATCTTGCTTTGACCTTTGACTGACACTGGCATGTGGTGAGAGCTGTCGGCTTTCTCTCGACCCACAGTGACCCAAGCACCCAAGCTCCACGTGTCTGCTCTGTCCCTGGAGCCAGGCTTCTCGTGGGTGGTCTCTGCATCGGCCCCCCAACACACACTCCTCTCCGTGCGACCAGCTGCTGCATGTCCAGCTCAGGGACCCTCTCTGTGGGGACGGAGTCCAAGTGGAGTCTCCAGTCAGTGTCCCTGCACATGAAAGGCTCTGTGTGCACAAGTGTGTTGTACACACATTGGACTGAAGCAAACATTGGCGCTTCCGCTAGAAGTCCATTTATCAGGTTAGAAAGATCTCCCCTCTCGCCCATGCAGAATAGTCTCCCAGTTTCTGAAGGTACCCATAGTCATATTGTAGAAACATTTCCACAGATACATAGATTTTCCTCAGAGTGAAGTCCTGAGTTCAGCATACAGTTCTCTTCACGTTGAGAGGACTCACTTCCCCTGAAGAGACCGTAAGAAGAGTGAGGCAGAATCCAGGCAGCAAGTGGAGGCACCATGCTCTCTCCTGCTGGGCATCTTGGGATTTCCTTTACATAACGTGCACAGCCTTAGCAGACAGCACCCCTGGTCTAGCGGGAAGAGGCCATGCCACCGACCTCAGTGACCACCTGCTTGGATGGGTCTCGAGCAGCAGGAATGACTTAAGGCGAACCACTGGAGTGTAGAGGGGAAGCAAGGACAGGAAACTGTAGACCCCACCCACTCTTGTTTAGCGGTACTTCAGGGTAACATCAAGAAACACTTTCCCAGGGCGGGAGAGAGGTACAGTGGTTAGGGCGCTCACCTTGCAAGCTGTGGACCCATATAGGGTCCCTGAGCCTTGGCAGGAGAGAGGCCTGAGCACCAAAACCGGGACAAAGAGAAAGAAAAACCTGATCATCACATTCCCACTATCCTGAGGAAGAATTGGACTGAGTAGATTTGTGCTCATCTCTTCAACTGAGATTTTACCCTGACCTGGTAATGTTCAGGTTTTCACAACAGACAGGAAGTGCCCCAACCTTCAGCTCCTGGGGGGTCACATCCCTCCTACGTGCCGTGTGGGTGCTCACCAGTAGTGATGGACAGAGACCCAGGTGAGCACAGTCTCGGGATCGCCAGGTGCGTCTCTGCTCGCCGGGCTCTCTCGGGAGGCCCGGGGATGGCTGGCAGGACGGCGTTTGCTGGGTTCACTCTGTGCTTAGAACTGATGTGTGCAGTGAGCTGGGGTCCCCTTTCTCTCTCCAGTGCCCAGACCTTGGGATCTCCGTCCACCAGCTCGCCTGACCTCGCTCTAGGGGGTGGTAGTGACAGACTGAGTTGTCTGCTTGGTTCTGGTGGTGGAGTAAAATCTGCAAAGCTGAGGACGATGGCCTTGCATGTGGCCGAACAGGGTTTGGTCCCTATCATCCCCTGTGGCCCCCTGAGTCCCACCAGAGTAATCCTTGAGAGCAGAGCCCTGAGCACCACTGGGGGTGGCCCAAAAACAAACAAAAACAGAAAATAAAAAGAAGCAGAACGCACACCTTCCCGCCTAGACGTCCCGCAGAGAACATCACATGACATTGGTGCCTCCCTCTGCCTGTCATTGTAGGTCTCAGACCCACCTCACACTCGCTTCCTAAGGAAAAGGGAAGGAAGAGCTCTGGACCTGTGGGGGCACAGTCCAAGAGGGCAGCTCCTTCTGCAATATTTGGCAGTGGAGAGAAGAGCTGAGCTCTCGAGTCAAGTGTTCATCACCAGCACTTCCCAGGACATGCTATCCCCTGCCCAGGACCCAGCCAGGACAGTGGGCTTCTGAGAAGGGTCCCTGAGCACGCAGAGGTGGGGGAGGGTCCCTCAGCTGCAGTAGGAGAGCCCCCAGGGCTGCCTGCTTCTCCTTCCTCTGTGCTCTATGACTCCTTGTACCTAATCTAGTAGCAGGAGGTCAGTTGAGGTCTTTAAAAATTAGTGAAGGGGCTGGAGCAATAGCACAGCGGGTAGGGCATTTGCCTTGCTCGTGGCTGACCCGGGTTCGATTCCCAGCATCCCATATGGTCCCCCCAGCACTGCCAGGAGGAATTCCTGAGTGCATAAGCCAGGAGTAACCCCTGAGCATTGCTGGGTGTGACACAAAAAGCAAAAAATTAAAAATTAGTAAAATTTAGGGCCTGAGTGATAGTACAGCGGGGAGGGCATTTGCCTTGCACACAGCTGACAAGGTTCGATCCCTGGCAGCCCATAGGGTGATCCGAGCCCCGCCAGGAGTGACTCCTAACTGCAGAGCAGGAGCAGGCCCTGACCATCACCAGGAATGGCCAAAAAGAAAAAGAAAATTTTAACTTATATGCTCTCCCATTACACAAAATGTGCTTCACACACTTTTGAAAGCGGCCATTGTATGGGGAAAAATAGCTTATTAATGTAAAAAAATTATATAATGTAAAAAATTCTATTATCACAATTTATAGGAAATAATGAATCTTCAAACTTGTGCTTTGATCTTTCCGTCGTGTGAAGTATTTTGTTATTATAGAACTTTATTACTGAGAAGACATGATTCTGCCATGCCCGACTCCCCAGGCACAGCTGAGAAGTCCCTGGGGTGGGTCCTTGTGCCCCAGGGCTGACCCGACGGTGCCTCCTAAGCTCCAGGCTGATAATAAGGACGGCCGAGGGGACGGCCCAGCCTCAGCGTGTCGCTCAGTCGTGACGGGACTCAGAGCAGGGACGGCCACACGTCAGCCGGGGAGCTAGGGGAGCCCCGATCTCCCCCCCACACACACACACAGCCCTGACCCCAGGCCCCAGCCCCGCTGTGCTTTGTCTACTGCAGCCCCTGGCCCTGGGCCAGCGTGTGCTCGAACCCCATGCCTGACATCGCTTCTGCTCTTGTTCTCAGCTGCTCCAGCTCCCATGGCACCAGCGCCCGTCACTGTCTGGGCAGAGGTGGCCGCTGCAGTGACAGGAAACTGCCCTCCTGGGGACACAGCCCAGGCACAGAGATGAATGTTCCCTGAGTCAGGTCCTGAGGACACGCCGGTGTCTGTGTGCATCTCCGGGACAGGCCACGTGGTGAGTGAAGCTTCTCCTCAGACTGCGGGGCCACGGATCTGAGTCCCCACACGCCCATACAGCCCCGACACAGACTCTGCTGAGCGTCCCCGCCCGGACCGCTGCCCTGTGTCCCCATACCAGCCCCGACACAGAGCCTGCTGAGTGTCCCCATGCGGACCCTGCCCCATGTCCCCAAGGTCTCAGGATGGTCCACCCCCCTAAGTCTCTGCTCTCCAGAGTCTGAAATGAGCAGGACGGGGCAACCCCATTAGAGGGAGCCCCCGTGAATCCATGTGTGCATGCTCGGGGAAGGGAGTGGCGTCCCCTGAGGTGGTGCTGCCCCCTCCAGCCCTGCCCTCACTCCCACCTCCACCCAGGTGCCCGTGGCCCCTCAGCTCCCATGGACAACCTCACGGCCTTCACAGAGTTCCTGCTCATGGACATCTCCAGCTCCCGGCAGCTGCAGCTCCTGCAGGGGGCGCTGTTCCTGGGGGTCTACCTGGGGGCGCTGGCCGGCAACCTGCTGACCATCAGCGCCATCGTGTCCGACCCCCGCCTGCATGCCCCCATGTACTTCTTCATCACCAACCTGTCCTTCATTGACCTCTGCTGCATCTCTGTCACTGTCCCCAAACTGATCATCAACTCCCTGGTGGGCAGCTCGACCATCTCCCTCGCTGAATGTGCCACCCAGATCTTCCTGTACATCTTTTTTGCTTCGATTGAGCTGTCATTCCTGGTGGTGATGTCCTACGACCGCTATGTCGCCATCTGTCACCCCCTGCACTATGGGCTGACTGTCACCCCCCGGATGTGCACGCAGGCGGCGGGGGGCTCCTGGGCCACGGGTCTGGTCTATTCCAGCATCCACACGAGCAACATGTTCCGGCTGCCCTTCACAAAGTCCAACGTCATCCACCAGTATTTCTGTGACGTCCCTCAGGTCATGAGGATCTCGGCGCCGGAGGTCCAGTTCTGTGAGTTTATCATTCTCGCGGTCAGCGCTGGCATAGTCGTGGGCTGTTTCACGTCCTTGGTCCTGTCCTACGTGAGAATATTCTCTGCGGTGCTTAAGATGCGGTCAGCAGAGGCTCGCAACAAGGCCCTGTCCACCTGCACCCCACAACTGCTCATCCTCGTCCTGTTTGTAGTTTCTTCGTTAGTGGCCGTATTTGGGCCCACTGCAGACACAGCGTCCCTCACAAATCTGCTGACCGCTGTCTTCTACATCATGGCGCCGCCATTCCTGAACCCCGTCATCTACAGCCTGCGGAACCGGGACATCGGCTCCGCGCTGGCCAGGTTGTTCACCAGATACTCTGGAATCCCACACCATCATTTTCTTGACTGACCGTGTTCTCAACGAAGATAGAATTTTCTCTTTTAATCTGTTTCTTCTCCAATGGGGACAATTCCTGCTAATAGGTATTCACATGCTTTTCTTCTTTGCTGCTTTCTCCCTGTCGTGAGCTACAAACTGAGCAATGGTTGGGTCCTGCTTCGTACATCCCACTGTTCCCTGGCAGCACAGTCTGTACCAGGCTTGTGAGCTCTCTCTGGGAAGCGGGTCTTGAGCTAACACAAGACTTGGTAACAGCCGTCCTGCCGAGGCTGTTTTCTGTTTGAAATAAGTCCTCTGAGGGCAAAAGGAGAGAATAAACGCTCTGTGCTGGGGGTTCCATGTGGAACCAGGAGAGCACGCAGGGAAGCACAGACCTTGCCTATTGCCACCGCAGTTTAATCTCCAGTGCCCCAAATGATCCTGCCTGCATCCTAGGAAGTGCTCCCTGAGTGCAGAGCCTGGACTGAGCCCTGAGCACCACAGGGAGTCTCCCAAACCTCTGTCACTCAGGAGAATTTGAAGGCAGCCCAGGCAAGAGACCCTGCCAAGTTTCCGCGGCACCAGCAGATCCACCTCACCCTGGAGCTGGATGCGAGCTCCCAGTCAGCACTGAGGGAGCTCGTCGTGATCCCGCCTGGCCCTGGAAGGAGCCACCGCTGGTGCCCTAAGACCCCTCCGTTCCTCCTGCATCAGCACTCTGCATGGTCCTGAAACCTTTGGGACACATGAGAACCCTTTGCCTCCTGCTCCTGGGGGCCATGTGCAGCCTCGTGTTTGCCAGGTGAGCTGTGTGGCAGGTGGGACCCCGGGCTCAGAGCCCATGTAAGAACCGTGTGTGTGTGAGAGAGAGAGAAAGAGAGAGAGGGAATGAGAGAGAGAGAGAGAGAAAGAGAGAGACCGTCTGATCACCCTCACCCTGTGCTTCTCTCCATCTTTGCTGATGCCCCTGTGAGCTCCAAAGGAGGTGCCATGCCCAGCACAATGGGAACATCATATGAACTTGTTCGCCTGCACTAGGGTCGGATGGACCCTTGTCACGGCACAGAGCAGGGTTCCTGTTCCTGGGAGTTAGGCAGTGTCAGCCCCCACGTGCTGACCCCAGTGCCCTTCAGGCTGGGCCCTGCTGTGGGGCTTCCTCGGAGAGTGTTGAAGTGACAGTCTGGCTTCTCCAGAGGCGAGGTGCCTCTCCGCTCTGGGGATGCCCCTGGCGCAGCCCAGAAACTCAGCTTCACGTGATCGAACTGTTGCTCTCTGTCATGGTGGCTCCTCTGAGGGATTCTGACCAGGTCTGGGCATCCCCCACTGGCCATGCTCTCTCTCATGTCTGTCATCCCGAAGAGTTGCACTTCATTCCTTCTCTGCATCAGTGTGGTGTCAGGTCTCACCTGAGCCTCTGCAGACCCGTTCCTCCTGGGTCTGTGCCAAGCACCACATCACCATGCCAGAGCGGAACTGGGTCAGCGTGTGTAGGGCGAACGCCTTAGCCCACCCAGTCTCTCCGGCCCCACTGCGTACTGTGTGGCATGTCACCTGCAGCCCGCATGCTCTGCGCTGCTTCCAGAAGGCTCGGGTGGGGTCTGCAGGGTTTTCTGTGTCTATCGAGGGGAATCCCAGGCTGAGTCCCTCTGGTCTCACCTGGCCCGATCGGTCTTGTCTGGCCCTTCCAATGCTGTTGAACCCCAGTTGGGAAATAGGGCTTGTCTGATGGCTGCCTCGGAGCTGAAGCTTGGAGCGTTTCACCATAGACTCTGAGGGTGACTGTTGGTTCCTTCTAGGTGGCCTACACTGTGTCTACACCCTGGCAGGTTCCTTCTTACCCCCATTTTGGTGAGAATTTTTATCATGAATGGGTGTGGCATCTCACAGAAAGCTGCCTCTGTGCCTAGTGATGTGATGATCTGATCTTTATCTTTTTGTCCATGTGGTGCATTGATTTGCATATGCTGAAGCACCCTGATGCCACTGAAGTAAACCCCACTAGATACTGATACGTGATCTTTGTCTCTGTCCTAAGCACCCGTTTTTACCTCATCCATTGTAATGTGAGTTGATAAAGTCTAAACATCACGAAACCACAGAGGGGACATTTCTCTCTTGGAGTAGTTTAGGGTAAGGTTGAAGACATTGTTTTCTAGGACAACATGAAGAACCAGCCGGTGTGATGAGATGCATTTGTCATCTTGTGCCTCTGTCCATCTGAGAGAGGGGCCTGGGTGTGGCTGCGCATTCCATGATGAACAGGTCAGTAGGTGCACTCAGCTTTGCTGGAGCACCAGCCTGGTGGGAGAGACGTGAAAGGGTGTGGGCACTCGCCTCACCTCGGCTGCCCCTGGTGCAGCCAAGGAGGAGGGTCCAAAGGCTTCACCTGGAGGGTCCCAGGGGTGTCCATGCACCAGCAGGGGCCCTGGGCAGCACAGGCCAAGCAACACCACCATCTCAGTCCTGCCAGGGAATGGCCAGGAGTGGCCAGGAGCGCCCTGGGCCTCTGTACACCATATCGGGCACAAAGGAAAAGCACCTCTATGATGGGTGCCCATGGGTGCTGCCCTGGGGGCCAGGCACGGGCTCCCTGGGGCCACCTGGAGAGATCTGGCTTCTGTTGTTACACCTCTGGGTCAGGACCCCTGCCGGTGGGGCTCTGGGGGGACAGCCTGGCAATGGAGTGTGCCCTAAACCAAGAGCGGGTGCCTGGTACCCCATCCCACCTATGGGAGGCACCCAGGCTGCCCACCAGCACCTGGACACCAGCCCTGCCTCATGGACATGTCTGTAGCCAGCACTGACCCATTCCTTTATTTCTGCATGTTGAAAATGTTTGGCTAATTAGTTCACCGTTAGTCAGAAATACAGACAGTGAGAACAGAGAGGGAACTTGGGGTCCAGAAGGAGTAGCCCTGCATCTGGACGTGTGGCACTGACCATCAGTGTCCCGGCAGGCACAGACGCCTGACCTCAGCATCTCCCCTGCCAGACCCCCAAGGCTTATCGCCCAGCTCACACAGTGTTACGAAGGAAATGGAAATGAGGTTCTGCAGGTGTAGAGCGTATTTCACAGCCTTCCCCTCCATCTGGAACATTCCACACTTCCCTCAGCCTCCTGGTCGGTGCCCACCCAGCACAGGCCATCCCTTCTCAGTGTTGCAACATCACAACCGACTCACCACATAACCAGGCCTGATGACCACCATAGAGAGGCTCTGGGCCCGTCTCTAAGCACAGACACCCCAGCGGGACAGAGCCAAGCGTGGCCCAGGGAGCTGTCTCCCAGGCAGTCAGGAAACACCCTCACCAGTGCTCTGAGACAGTCACAGATACTCACCTGCATGCCCATAGGCACAGCTGTGCCAGTGGGTACATATGGGGCATGGCTGTCTGTCTTTGCAGTCCTATGCCCGGCCCAAGCAGGACCCAACTGGTTGTCTGGAGGAGGGATCGACCGCTAGACTTTGGGCGAGGGAGGGAGGGAGGGATTGGACCCATCCTGTCCATGGAGTGGGGCCCAGTCACGAAGATTCTGGAAACACAGTGCCTCGGTCTGCTGTGGGGGTGAGTGGGTTGGGGTGGTGCTGGTGCCCCTTTCATACCCCCACAGGCGCTGCAGCACATGCAGGGGGGCAGAGGGCAGGGAGAGACCCAGCGGGGCGGGGCAGGCCAAGTGCTGTGGGCCCGTGTCCCCGCAGCACTGTGCTAGGGCCACACACTCAGACAAAACTCCTTGTTATTACGAGAGTGTCAGCAGCGACTCCGCTCCTGAGATGTCTGCTGCAGGACCCAACTCCTTGTGCGAGAGAGCGTCACCATGAGCAGACAGAACTGTTTCAGCCCCTAGTAGGCAGAAAGAGTCAGATGTACCACCTCACCACACTGACTTGCTCCACACGGGTTCTTCATTTGGAAGACCAGTTTGGATGAAAGTGTGGTTGCAGGATGCAGAACCCATTCCTGTCAATAACTGTCACTCTTGCTTGTCTGCAGCTCAGAAATGCTGAGCATGGAGATGACAGAGGTACACTTTCGGCTCCAATTTTACATGATGTGGTATCTATTATGATCTAACAAATATGACAGCCTTTGGACATGTGAGATGGCAGAAAGTGCTGGGCTAAATCAGCACTTGATACATGTACAGAAATACTGAGAGAAAGAGAGGCGGGGAGTGGAGGGGGGGGGAGAATGAGGGAGATGGAGAGAGAGATCTTCTGTCCTGCAGAAGGTCCTAACAACACAGAATGCTTGGAGGAGCTCAGGAAGTGGCTTTAGAGGGGTAATCTATTTCTCCGTTTCCTCTGGATGAACATATCACTGAAGTACAATCACTGTGGAAAGTTAAGTCTCTGACTCACTTCACCCTGCGGGTTTGGGGAAGCTGCCCACCTGCCAGCAGATTCCCGAGATGTTCACCCCTGCTAGGGTTTGCAAACCATCCATCCTAAAGGGCCTGCAGCACTGTGGGGTCTGACGGGGGGAACCCTGCAGGGCACAGCCTGTTGGCACAGCCGGGCCCATCCTGGGAAGCTGCGGGCTCATGCCCGTGAGTGAGGCATGTCCTGCTGTAGGCTGGGTTCACACCATGACTGCACACTCTGAGTCTAGCTGGCCTCCCCGGCTGGTGAGAACAGACTCATGGTGGAGCCATCAGCACCCACATTTCCCAGGACTCCACTCTTCACTCGGCTTCCTTCACCCCTGCAGACAGGACCCAGCCAGGACCAGGTGCCCAACAACTGCCAATGTGGGCACAGGGACCAGCCCAGGGTCTGCACTTGAACAAGCCCCTGGCCCCATCTGCTGTTCCTCCCACTCCCATCCCCCAGCTCCTCTGCATGGCCCCAGCAGTTAATCTGCTGCTGGGACACTTGTTGGTTCATCGTGGGGGTCAGACTGAATCTGGGTTTGAGGTCAGTGGGCCAGGATAGAGCTCCCTGAGGACTAGGAAACAGTGGGTCATAGGATCACCAAGAACTCGGAAAAGTGCCTCCCAACAGTTCATCCAGTAACCGTAATGTACC